TTAAATGCTGGAGGGAAAACAAATAAGATAGATCTTGTAGTGTTCCTTCAACAGCAGTTTATAATTACCACTCTCAGAGGCCTGTTTTCAGGGAACTTGTACCAGGAGCTTGAGAAGTTGTTTAGACAAGGCAGCACCACGAGGAGGAACCTGCTCTCTGAGCAAGGGCCAGGCGGGCCTGGAGCAGAGCACACACCGGTGTCTTCGTCTTTAGGTCGCAAGGCAGCTGTAGGAAGCCTCTGATTGCCTGGAATCAGTTAGCTGTTGAGAAACATGTTACTCCACAATTTGTGGCTAAGCCAACGTTTACTTTTTTCAGTTTTCTGTGGGTGAGAAATCCAGGAGCAATTTAGCTGGGTACTCTGGGTCTGCATCTCTCACAGGCAAGTCTGCTCACCACTCAGCTAAGGACCCCTCATTCCAGCGCACTCACGAGATTGGCTGAGATTGGACTCTGTTCCTTGTGGGTTGTTGCACTAAAGCATCCATTTATTGCTGTGTGGGCTGCTCCATCAAGAATCTCACATTATGTCACGTTGTTTCCTGAGTACGAGAGAGAGAGAGAGAGAGAGTGTGAGTCACAGTTCTTTGCAACATAATCACAGAAGTGACATCCCATTATTTTTTGCTGTGTACTGCTCATTAAGAAGGCAAGAAACTAGATCCAGCCAACTCTCCGGGGAGGTGAATACTCGGCAGTGGCATAAAAGGAGGTGGGGGTCATGGCGGCCAGGTCAGAAGCTACTGACCACAAGCTCGATGCCCATATTCTCTCACGGCATCAGACGCAGAGGCCTAGTGAATTGGGACGTGAATATCCCATACATGTGCAGTGCTGAATGCAGCTTTTGGGAGTACTGATTGGAGGGCATTGAGTATGATCCTTTTATGTGTCAAATTGGCTGGTAAGTGCTGAGCAGTACTCACCTGAGCCCCAGGAGACAGGTTTGCAGGAAAGGCTGAACGCAGAGCCCCTGGCTGAGGTCACGGGAGAGAGTGAAGATAAGCAGCCCTCGTGCCTTATTACCATGATGCTGTGGACACAGAGGCAGAGGGCCCAGGTCCTGCTTCACTGTGTGCTATAAGGTTTTCAGTGGTACCCTGCAGGTCACCAGGGGGAAGGGGCCCAGTGGTTTGATTGTTATACAGTTGCCATTAAGATCATGGAGTGGGAGGTTGTGTGTGTTGAATGGTCCCCACCCCCCTATTCTCAGCTTCCTGACTCCTAGTGTACATTTTTGGCAGTAAACTGAGTACTTGATAGGGCTTGGGATTATGCGACAAATGTGTAAGACAAGAGTTGAACTTCTTTTTAATTTGGCAAATTCCATTAGAACAGTCCGTGTATCTTTATAGGGAGAGTTCAGGCCTAGGTTTTCTTCACCTGTCAATACCTCATCTTGGTTACTAAACCTTCCATTTGGGAACCTGGGAACAATTCAGTGGCCATTGGTCAGCTTCCGGGGGATCTGTGAAGCCTTGATGAGTTTTCCTCTGACGCACATGTCTGGGACACCCTCATCTTCCCAGACAAAGCTAACTCCCTTCCCAAAGCCATGCTGGCAGTACATGCAAGCCTCAGTTACTACAGGGATTCTGCCTGGTGCCTACACTGTGGTTCATATTTATGGCCCCAGATGGAATAAGCACAGCACAAGGATAGGGAGTTTCGTCTTACATACCTTTGCTTCCACAGCACCTGATAGGGAAACTAGCACATAGTAGGTATTTTAAAAGCATTTGGATAGATGGATGGAGCTGCAGTAATATATATTGGTAATTATTCACTATTAAATTTCTAGGGAAAGCAGCATGAGAACATAAATTTTGTCTTATCTAACAAAGATAATGTTGGTCATTATAAGGTGATGTTTCTAGCCCCAGCCGATTTGGCTCAGTGAATAGAGAGCCAGCCTGTGGACTGAAGAGCCCCAGCTTCGATTCCAGTTAAGAACATGTCCCTTGGTTGCAGGCTTCTCCTTACCAATCAATGTGTCTCCCTCATGTTGATATTTGTCTTTCCCTCTAAAAATAAGTGGAAAAATACCCTCAGGTGAAGATTAAAAAAATATATAATAAAATATCTCTAAAATCATAGGGATTAAAAGCTACCTCCTGACAAAAAATGTTGCCTGTTTAAGTTTTTTTACTCCCTCACGTCCAACTTCAATTTTTTTCCCTCATAATTGATAGAGAGGATTTTCTTTGTAATTTATTGTATGAATATTACATTTTCAATTCCTCTATTGTGTTTTTTATGCTCAATCTTTGGCTTTTTATTAGTGACTAGTACTTTGATATTATCTTACTGTTTCAAATACTACAATATATTACTAATATATATTTATAAATGATAAAATGATATAGCTTCAAGTACTACTAATATATTACTTGTTATAAATGATATAGCTTCAAGTTCTATTAACATAATCTATTTATAAATTATATAAAGGCATGTCACATTGGTCAGCCAATGGTTAAGAAATCTGGAAAATAACATGGAAGAAAGCCACTCATTTTTTAATGCAAAGCTTAAAAGAGTGTTTTGCCAATATATGGAGGGAGGTTTTTACGCTTTTTGGATTTCAGTATGGTAAATAAGGAACCCTAGTTAAACTGACTGAGCAAGGCTCACCCACTGAGGTAGGCTCTAAGGGCTAAGGGTTTGCTTTAGGAGCTCAGGACAGAGATTGTAGCGTCAATTGACTTCGTGTACTCTGCATTGTGTATTCACAGTATGTGTTTATACTCTTGGTTCAGACTTTTTTCCCTAAGGATCAGAGGCTGGCAGTGCCATGGGGTGTCAGTCACATTATCCTTACAGCCTTTCTGGTTTCAGGGAGGCGATGAGGAACTAATGGAGAAGTTTGATGGGAAAGAGAGGTTTTATTTTGTATTAAATAGAAGTGCATTTTACATTCTTAACCCTTTGCACTCCGAACCATTCTGGACATTGGCTACCAGCTACTCGACGCTACTTTGGGGTGGACACGTGCGTTGAATTAACTCAATTCCCTGTAATCACTAATAAACTGCAATGTCCCCCCTGAGAGGGGACATCTGAGTGATATGCTAGAATTCCGATGTCCCCTGAGAGGGGACAGCGGAGTGCAAAGGGTTCATTTACAGACCAATGTAACTCATCTTGACCCTCTTTGAGGGCTGCTGGGAGAGCTCTCTTCCGTTTTTCTCCCGGACAGCTTATCCTTGGTTGCTGTTTAATTACTAGTGATTTTTTTTTTTGTCCTGTATTTATAGGATTTCTCCTACATCTAAATCTGAAAGACCTGTACTAATTAATTCCAAGACGTCCCCCCCACTAAACAAATCCATACAGCAGCAGCTTAGCGTCCTGGCGTCACTTTTTCACGTCAACAGTCTCAAGAAGCCACGGTTTTCCTAATGACCTGGGGTCACCTACGGGGACTGTATTTGTGATGCACATTTGCAGTTGGGGTCCACAGGAAGGACACCATTTCCTGGATCAAACCACAGAGAGCAAATATTGTGCCCTAAATAACACACTAGTTACTGTAAATGTCAGTAGAGGGAGTTTTTCCGACTTTGATTTAATGAAAGCCTGCAGCAAAGCCAGCTGTTAACACTTCTTAACTGCTTGTCAGAGGGAACAAACGTGGGAGATGGGAAGGGCCGAAAACATTTTATTTTTTACCTTTGTCTTAGAAGTAAGTAAGAGTTTTCTGCAGGTATCAAAGAGCGATGCTCGGATTCTTTGCAGCTTGATGTCTGTTAGGTAGTGATTTTGTTAGTTCTCCTCTAGGATGGGGATCTGGAATTACAGGAAGAGGTTCGTGTAAAATTAGTTTGAAATTTTGCATCTTCAATCCTCTCGCCTTCAACATAAACATTTTCGTTTTCTGGGCTGAGTTGCTTGAAACTAACCCCCCCTCCCACCCCCGAGGAAGCATAGCAAAGGGTAAAAATCAAGGAGGGAGAAGGCACACCCCACACCAGCCGTCTCCGTCACTGAGGGCATCGCCAGACGCATTGTTAGCCATGTGTGCTTTGATTGATGTCATCTGCTCTGAACAAAGAAACCACTTGAAGCAAGCACACAGGGAGGAAAGTATGCAGCGCTCATTTCTGTCATTTCTGTCATTTCTAGAATGCACAGTAAACACATGTGATGGTTCCGGGTCCTCCCGCCTCGGAGATAGATCCCTTTGACATTACCCCGTGCATGCCGAGGGGAGATAATCTTTCAAATGCGGGGAGAGGTTACGGTCTTATTGTCCTGAGGAGGAGAGGAAAGTTTCTTCCTCCAGTGACTTATAACCTGAAACATGTTGTCATGTTTCAGTAAGCCCGCTTTATTAATTCCATCCTTCTCTGTGGCACATTTTTTAAAATAAACGTGCCATCGCATAACGCCGTCTCAATAGCATATTGTACTTATCATGGCGTGATGGAAGTGGCTGGGCTCGGCTTAGTCATAGAGGACTCGGAGCCAAGCTCTGAGCAGACCCTCTAATTGAATTACCTGCAAAGCACTGACAGACCGGCTTTCAGGACAGACAAAGCTTTGCTTTCCGCAGCAGAGGCAGGTCGTGGTTCAGTTGCCCTCAGTAACTATCTGTAGTTGGTTTGTGCCAGCACGTTCACCGTGGGCTCTGCTGGGCCCTGGTCCTGCAGGGGGGGAGGAGGCGGAGCTCTGTGAAAGCGGGAGGGCTCAAACATTATCTTCTTATTTTAGAGAAAATTGATAACAGATCAAGTTAAATGGAAGAGCCTTTGAAATAAAAATCCAAAGCATTTTCTGTAGATGACCAACATTCTTGCATGATTCATCATGTTGAGAAGAGAACACAGGGGTAGGAAAGTAGCTCCTTCTGTAAGACTCTGTGCCAATCTGCAAAGTATTTTTGTTTTAACTTCTGGGAAGAATTAAGAGTTCGCTCCGTTTATTCGGGAAAGAATTGATTGATTTGAAAATGAAGAGTAATCATCTGTTGTCTTCTCTCTTCCTGTCTTGTCCGCAGCCTCTGCCATCCCAGACAATGGAAGAAGGTCCTGTCTAAAGCTCAAAGTCTTTGTGAGACCAACAAGTAAGTTCCCTCGAATGAGCTTCAGAGGGCGGCTTCACTGCGCATGCTTGATTGTGTGGTCTGGTTCACAGCGGTAACACTTTTTTTACTGTTAAATCTCTTGTGTGGTATCTGTTTTGTATATCAACATTCATGTTTTAGTTTTCATCAGATTTTTTCTCATCATTCTTCATGATGCTTTTATTTTTTAAGTACACAGCAGTTGCTAACTTGTTGTTTCTTAGACTGTTGTATGTGCACAGCAAATGGGAACAATATTGGCATCTTGATACATGCCGTTGATTGTAAAACAATCTGCATAAATAAAAGGAAACAAAATTAGAGAGAAAGAAAGAAACGGGAGTTTAAGGGTGTCTGCACTAACATATTTGGCTGTTATCTCTATTTTTGTTATAGATAGCTGTATGAAAACTATAGGTGTTCATGATCGTGTTTTCGATGTTAACGACAAAGTAGAAAATTCATTAGAACCAGCAGGTTAGTATGCTTAGAGAATCTCTTTTAACCAATGCATCTCTCTGGTGCTTCAGTACTTTTATTTTCCTTTCTTCCTCTCTGCATGTTTGCATGTTAGAGTTGCTCTGCTTTTTGCTCATTGCTAGCAATGCTAATATTACTTATATTCTACTTCATCCCTCCACTATCTCTGTGTAGTGCATGGTAGATAAAATGACCTTTTTTTGGACATGGGTTTGCTATAACACGGTATCCTAATGTACAGCCCCATCAGAATGCTAAAACCTCACTACTTTTTACCATCTCCTCCGAGCATGCTGGTGAGTCACCCTGAATATTAATGGATCTGTTTTTACGTAAGACAAAAGCATTTCTATTGTACATGCTTATCAAATTTTCTTATACATTACGTCCAAATCTGCGTATAAAATTAGCAGTAACTAATTCAACATACCTTAATTTTCTCTGGAAATTCACATGCATCACTAAAGTGATCAAAAGAACTTTAGATTTCAAGTATTATTTGTGCGATTATTAATAGTCAGGGATTTGGAGAAGTATAATCATGTTGCCTCCTAATACCACAAATGTATTTGTCTAGCGAGCTAAATGTGGTCCTTGATTAATAAGACAAAATAAATCTAAATCTATTTTTTCTCTATTACTAACTTCTACACACCCAAACTTTCCCATCATTGCAGAAAAAGAAATACCCACAAAAACACTCATTGAAGCATTTATACTGGAGATAATGTAAAATGTTCATTTGGTTATAAATTCAATCGGGCTATTTAATGCACATCTAGGCTGATTGTGAGGAATGTGCCTCAGTGTCCCGTTGCTCGCCTTCCTCTGGTCTCCTGTAATGACCTCACAGCTTAAGGGAAATAAAGTTATTTCCTCTACACAAAGATGTGAGTTCCACCCCCCACTTTTGTAAACAGATACTTTCTTTTGTCTATTTGCAGTAGGACTTCTTTCTTATTGTCCTAGAAATTATCCTTTGAGCATTATTACTGGGATACGCAGTCAATGAGCCTTAGGGAAACTTAGCCTGAGTAAATGTGGTGCCTCAGGACATACAATAGCTTTCACATTATAACTGCCAGGCGGAGTTAGGTTTTTTCCCCAAACATTCTTGTATTTCTAAGGCAGGCGTCTTACCCAGAGCACAAATGAGAGGTGTGCACAATAAGCTCTCAGAGGCCCTGGTGGCTCCCTAGGGATCGGTTAGCCACTTTAGAAAAGTTGCAAGGAATAAGGGGAGACGTTTTAATTGTGTCCTGGAAATCTGGAAGCATCTCTGTGGCTTTTCAAGGCACCAGACTCCTCACAAGCTGGAGGACCCAGGCCATGGTAGGATCTGTGAGTTGTATGGGATCCCCTGGAAGGACCCTAGTTACACTTTTCCTTTCATAACTGAGACTTGCCCAGGTCACATAGTTAGAGACAGATCCAGGCTTTTCTCATCTCTCATGCCAATGTCAATAGAAAAGAATAGGACCCTCTCCTGGCTTTGCTAATGTCATGCATAGAATGACTGGCAAAGTTAGGCATGTTATCAACGTAACTTACCCTGGATGATGATTTCCCGATGCATGCTGTTAACAAATGTAGACTTATCTTTCCAATATTCTTTTTCCAGGTAAATTCCATTGCCTAGCAAGAAAGTTAGAGGCTGTTTAGAAATATAACAGAGAGTATGTTTTTCTCTGCTACTGAAGAGGTCACAGGAAAAGGCGATATATTGGGATGTGCTCATATGTGAGCATGTTTCCCTGTCTTTTAGGAAGCAGGCTCTTTTCTACTGAGCATTTAAAAGCTCGTGATTGCCCCCTACTCAGTGCACACATAGCTGATGGGAGCTATAGAACGGAGTCAAGGGGAGAGTGGGAGGGGAGTGTACCTGCCGGAAAAGCTCCTGCGTTAGCCATGGCTGTGCTTGGGCCTTCTGGTGAGCATCTTCACAGAAAAAGCAAGACAAAGTTGCCCTACCACCCCTGGCTGTATAAATCATAGTTTGAGCACTTCTCCTTGTTCTTTAGAAAATTCAGTCGGACTTGCAGCCTGGCAGCATGGTGCTGAAGGGCTGAGGGTAGGCCTGGAAGGACTCCACTGCATGCTCTCAGCAACATGTACTAATTCACCTGTCTCCGGAATGTGTTGTGTTTGATGTTTGCTTGCACCCTCTGCCTGCCAGTTTCCTATCATCAGGGATGCAGGATGATCTCAGGGCAGATATGTGCCACATAATACGCTCCAAATTATCGCTAGGTTAACTGGGTGTCCTCGTGTGGTGGAATCCTATTCTGGAAGCAAGATTTGGCTGCTGAAGGGGAATGTTTTCTTCCTCCAAGCCGCAGGCGCTGTTGCGAGTGTTAGAAACTCATGTTTACTCTGGGGGTAGTTGCCATTGAGGTAGCTTGTGCTTATGAATTCCCTCATGGGATTCTAAAATTGTTCTGATTTCCCCACATGGCAGCAGGTTTCTCTTTCTGCTTCTCGGGCGCCACGGGCTCTCCCAACAGCGAGGCCCCGGTTTAACGGAAGCATGCTTTGTAGACTCCCGAGCCAGGACCAGCCTGTTGCAGGGAGAACCGTGAGGCCCACAGGCACAGACTTTCCCTGTGAGAGCAAGAGGGTACCTGCCAACAGGACTGAAAAGCACTTGGAGCCTCTGCCTCACTTTAGAAAAAACAAGTGCTTTCCTCTGAGTCCTGCAGACTCACTCACCCTGCCTTGTGCTGCGGGCTGGAGCAATGGACAGCCCTCGCTGAGCAGCCTGGACAGACAGGCAGGGCTGGTCCCCTTCAAGCTTACTTGGAGGACCTAAGTGTGAGTTGGGTATGGTAATAGCTTAGTAAAAATAAGGGGAAGAAGAAGAACCCCATAGCTGGTGTAACTTCAGGTGTATAAAAAGCACTCCATCCTCAGGGTTTATAGGTTATTTTCACAATTAAACCTGCAGTACTCTATTCTGATTGACACCATATTGGTGCTCTTAAGTGGTTTGAATTTTAATTTCAGGGCTATTAAGACTATTTACATCTACCTCCTGTTAGCTACAGATGGAATACCTTCGCAAAGCTGAGAGAGGAGAGTCCCCAAGTACGGGGCTAAAAGCTGTGGGGCTTTATGTTTTCCTCTGCATCCATTTAACTTCCCATTCTTGCTTCCTAACCTTTTCTAGTCTCCTGAGTGAACAGCCACTCTCTGCAGGTCTGCTGAGGGCCAGGAGAGGGGAGCCACTCAGGGGCGCAGCCGCTAATCTGCGAGGACAGGCTAACCCCGTGGTCGGCAAACTGTGGCTCGCCAGCCACATGAGGCCCTTTGGCCCCTTGAGTGTGGCTCTTCCACAAAATACCATGACCTGGGCGAGTCTATTTGAAGAAGTGGCATTAGAAGAAGTTGAAGTTTAAAAAATTTGGCTCTCAAAAGAAATTTCAGTTGTTGTACTGTTGATATTTGGCTCGGTTAACTAATGAGTTTGCCGACCACTGGGCTAACCCAAGAGCCCTCCAGGGCAGAAGACGCACAGCTGAGAAAACATACTTCTTAGTTCATATTGGGAATGAACGTGACGAACAGATATGCCCCCACTGACATATCGGAAGAGGTGCTTGCAAAGGGGTCACTTTAGGACAAATAATAAGGTGGTGTGCCTCTACCCAGGGAAGGACCAGCATCCTTATTGAGGCATGTCGTGTGGCATGAAAATGTATATGAAGGGGTTTGAGCTGGGCCATTCAGGGATAGTTAGGGGTTATCCTCTCAGGTCTGCAAAACTGAGAGCAACCACGGGGGAGAGAAGCCAGGGTGACAATGCCTGAGCTCCCACAGGAAGGGTGTGTTGGTGCTAAAATAGAAGCCACCACAGAGCCCCACTGTTAGTCCCAAGGACACATAGTCTGAAAGCCTAAGTTAGGCCAGTGGAAGGAAGGAGGTATACAAAGCCCCCAGTCTATCTTTGGGTCCTAATTACTGCAAAGTTCCTGTTTCAACATTAAGCCTGTTAATCATGCAGATCAGGAAGTCTCTGGGAAGTCAGAGGCAGCCTCAGAGAACACTTTCTAGCTAAATAAAGGGAGCTTACCTCACTTAATCCATTTTGTGTAGAGGAGCATTTGCATCCACGCCGATCATTTTTGTGTGCTATGCTTCAGCCTGATAAAAGCAAAAATAGTTAAGTTCAAGTAATTTAATCCTAGGCCCTACCGGGTTTGTAATGGAAATAGCACCATAATTGGTGCCTAATTGTAAGCGAACCAGTGGGCACTGGGGTGGTCAGGTTTAGCGGACATTAGGTATGGTTTATTTTTAAATGCTGTTTTGGCATTTGATTATTCATATTTGGAAATTCATCTTAGGCTTCCAACAACCAGGCATTCAACACTCATCCTAGGCAACTGCTTAAAAATGAGGGAAATGGGTAGCACATTCTGGTCAGCCACTAATAGGCCAACATACCTTCCCCTCACCCTGGATACATTACTTGCTTCTCCGTGGCACGCAGGGTTTAAAAAAAATCCATTCCGATACCTCAGGTTTGTGCGAGGTGTGTGACTGCCGGCTCACCGGAGGAGCTCACGTGCCAGAGGTTACATACCGTGTGTGCATAACCTCCCCGACTCCCTCAATGTTTAAGGAAACTTAATATCGCTGAGAAAGTCCAATTTCCTCTGCTTCTCCTGTGTTTGCTGTAAATAATGAGTGATTATGCAGACGTGGAAGTCAAGGGTGGCGCGAGGTTCATTACCTCACGTTGCCGAGGGTGGCAAGGTCTGAACAGCAGGCTGCTGCGAGGGAGCCGCTAAGGACGTGCGATCTCACCGGAACGTGTGCTTTCTGTTCGAACAGATGACACCGTACACGAGTCCGCCGAGCCATCCCGTGGCGAGAACGCGGCACAGACGCCCAGGATACCCAGCCGCCTCTTGGCAATCCTACTGTTCCTCCTGGCGATGCTTTTGACATTATAGCACAGCCTCCTGCCGTCGCCTGTCACAGAGAACCCCGGGGTCTTGGAACACCGGAGATCCACCTAACTGCTCATCCTAAGAAGGGACTTGTGATTGGTTGCTTTGGCAGATGTCAGATTTTTGTTTGTTTGTGTGTTTTTTTTTCTTTTTTTTCAGCCTGAATTCTAAGCAACAACCTGGGGCCTGTCGGGGGCTAACATAGCTGCCGCCGCCTCCCTCACCCCCCACCCCAGCCCTTGCCCTTGCCGTTTCTCACCCCTTCCAAATTAAACGGACTCCAGATGAAAATGCCAAATTGTCGTAGCGACACCGGTGGTCAGCAGCTCCCGTAAGCGCGCCCTTTCTTCAGGGCCCCGTGTCAGCAGCATGTGGACGAGGAAGAAGAGTGGCAGATGCAGCCAGGGATGGCGAGGCCCAGGAGGGCTCTCCCCTCCCATCCAATATTTATGCCTTTTCATCCAGGACTGTAAGAGAACCGTGCAGGCCGTCATGTCAAGTCCAGAGGGGAGGTATTAAGGACAGATATAATATTACACTATTTCCTCTAGGGTGTGTAAATGAACAGGCTTCTAAAAGGTTGACACTTTTTTTTTTTTTTTTTAGATGACTGTCTTGACAGCAAAATGTGTGCTCCATAAAAGAAGCCTATTTTTCCTCCCCTAGGCAGTGGGTAGGGAGTGGGAATGCTAGCACAGAGCAAGTGCGAGTGACATCAGAGGAAACAGGTTCGGTGGGGGTGTGTATGTATGAGTGCCTCTTAATTTTTTCGGTGACTGGGCGGTATACACCGGATTATTTTTCCCTCTGACTACAGATCACCATGGTGCTACAACTATTTTTGTTTTTAAAGGAAATTCAAAGAGGCATTTTTATGACTAAAGTGACCTTCCCCAAGGCTGACAAGCCAGGGTTGCTGAGTGCATCACGGAATAGCTTTGAATCCTCCTCTGGGGCCACACTGCGTACCCAGGAACGCGTGTCCGTGGCCGGAGGAGCGGTGGGTTGGCTTTGCTGGAGCACCAGCTGTGCCGTGGCCTTTCCCCGACTCCCGCCCTAGCGCCCCCGTTCTGCTCCACCCTCAGTGACCACGGGGCTCGGACACACGCCCCTGGCACCCGAGAGTCAGTCAGCATGACCTGGGAGGGCTAAAGGGAAATTGGGAATAAGAATTCCAAAGTGTGGAATAATAAAAAAAAAAGAAATTCAAGTGTTGATTTTATAATTCTTTCCCTTTCTGACACAGCCTGAAAGCATAGGGGGAACGTGTGTTTATCCGTGGGAGATAAACAAGGTGGAGTCCCAAAGACTTTAACAAAATATTTTTTTAAAAAATCCACTAGAATAGAAAATACATTATTTAGATATACTTTATGCTGAGAGTGTATATGCTTGTCCTATTTAAACTTGTGAGAGGAAAAAAAGTGGTATCCCTTGATTCTTTTAGAAATATGGAGGCTATCTTGTTTCCTTGTGGGGGTGGGGCGGAAGGAGGTGCAGGATGACCCTGTCTATGTAAGGAATCTCAGCATGGCCAGCAAGGAATGATTCCCCTTAGCTACCAGGAAGCGCACGCCTTGGGGGTTCCCACTGGTGAGGCCGGCACAGACTCTGAACTGGGAAGCCCGGACAGGGAAGAGCGGCAGACCAAGGGGAAAGAAACCTTGCCTTTTCTGCTATTGCACGACACACCAACAGAAAACATGCCTTTCGAAAACAAAACAAAAAATATATGTGATGAACATGTGAGATGTGAACAATTGGAAGAATTCCAGCAAAATAAGTGATTTTTTAGAATGTGTTCAAAAGAGAAAGAGAGGGGTCTTCTTAGGGACTGATTTCGTGAATGGGAACTCGGTAAGCATCAGGAGGAGTTCTGAACTAGAGAAGAATGTGCGGGAAGGCAGCTCTAAAGGCACTACTCGCCGGGGAGCTGTGCACGTGTTGACATGGAACGTGGGCTTACCTGATCTTCTTTGGGGGGATGTGCCCTGGAAACCGATGAGCGGGGCCATCGGCCTCGCAGATATGATCGTTCCTGTCCCCCCCAGGCACCAGGGCCTTCTCGGGAGTGGCGTGGCCGAGTCTTGTCACAGAGGCAGCCAGCATTTCCCTGCAACAAAAGTTCACAGCATTGGATTCTTTTTTTCCCCCCTTCAACTATTTATCTGCTCAGTGTTCTCAGTAATGTCCAATGACACTTCTTTTTATGAATAGTTACAGGCTTGTTGGTCCAGTGGGATATGGTTAGGAGGGAGAGAGATACCTTCCAAAATGGATCGATAGTCAGAACCAGCATAATACTGCATGTTCTATAACCACAAGGAAATCAAATGATCCTGTAATGATGCCAGTTAGTCATAACTACATTAGCAGTGCTAATTTCATTTTAGAAATGGTGACTTCTGTGGTTTTCCTAGCATTTGTCTCTAACAAATGATGAAATAATTACTCATGGCCCTTCTCTGCCGCTCTCTTTTCATTTTTCACGGTGAAATTGGACCCCTTTCCCTTCACCATTGTGCCCCTGCAAATTAAGTTTAAAAAGAAAAAAAAAAAAAAAGTAGCAAGACTACCCACACCAGTAGACAGTGTGCTTCTCTACCTATAAAGTGATGTACCTGTAGGTCATGCTTGCCGCGGAGTTTTCAAGAAGATGATTGATATCAGGCAGTTTTCATCTCGACCAAAAAGTGCTGGTGGCCTTGTGGTGTCGTGACAACCCTCTGGGGGCTTAGGAAAATGTCGATGCAACTTTGTAGGAGCTTTTCATTAAAAAAAAAAAAAAAAAAAAAAAAATTCAAAAGCCTGAAGGGCAGCTTCCGCTGCCTCTCAGCCCGCTAGTCAGACCCCCTCGACCTTTGCCCCTGGTTGCCTAGGGCTTTGCAACACGAAGCAGGGAAATGAGGATCTGTGTTTAGTGGATACCGTGTATCCTGTGATAGGCCAGGTAACAGTTTGTGTTAGTTTAGACTCTTGTTTTGTACTGTACTTTCTTGGGTGGCAGAGGAAAGAAAAGTAAAACATTAAAAAAAAAAACAAAAAAAAAAAAAAACCACAAAAAAACAACTGCGTTCTTTAAATTCTGTATTAGCAATCTCTGTTGTATATAGTGTTTGATAATAAAGTATTAATTTGATTCTCATGTCTTTTGTAAGTGAGAACAATAGTCTTTCAGGATACAAAACAGGCCTTGAGGCTCTCAAACTCCCAATGCGTACTCACTTGCCTGAGGAGAGGGGCTGCTCCACGCAGGACTCCCCGTGGTCATCGCACGCCGGGTCCTTAAGCCGCCACCATCTGGGGACCTGGGACAACATGACTTTTTTTATCACTATTTTGGCCTCAAAATTTTCAAGGTCTGATGGAGCTCTGTGGTGTGTGAGTGCGCGCGCGTGTGTGTGTGTGTGTGTGTGTGTGTGTGTGTGTGTGTGTGTATTTCCACCCCAGCATTTCGGTATGGAAAAGTTTAGGGAATTTGGAAACAGCTCTGTATTTGGTTTGGTTTTGTTTTGGTGATTTTCACACAATTTCATCTCTCCCCCACCCCGAAGAGTCTCACCAGTGTCTCGCAGCCCAGGCTACAGGAAAGGCTGCAGAGTCCCTCCAGGGCGGTTCAATGGGGCTGTGTCCCTGTGTCACTGTGAAAGGAAGAGGCACAGCGTACCTGTGGGTCTCAAGGAACTTTGCTTTTCTCTGGTGCTTAGCAACGGCAGCAGCCATTTTTATCATTCCTCCCAAATAGACAAACAGTTTCAACACCTTCTCTCCATTCATTGCTCTCCATTCAGAGCTGTGGTCACTGGTGTTTTGAAAACCACCTCCACCAACACCCCATTTGCCTACAACCCCCCTTTTATTTCTTATGCTTATACTGTTGTCCCACGTCCCATTTTCCCTCGCAACCATGAATGAATGGGCAGGTCTGTCTCTGGTTTGGCATCACTGACTTTTTCCCATGCGCTGGCCCCCCGCGCCACTCGGATGTGAGACAAATCTCCCTACAATGGCCTCGCCCCCATTGTCTGTACAGTTTAATAGATGCTGGCATGTTGGAGGTTACCCATGAGTCAAAATCCACTTTCCATGCTTCCTCTTGACACCCCATTGAAGCCACTCATTGTGTGTGCGTCTGGGTGTGACGTCCGGCCCCGTGTGGTCCTGCGCTTGTGCCGCCTGCTTCGCAGCTCCTCTGCACCAACCCATCCAGTGCTGTTTTGAAATGCTTACATTATACAAACCTAAAGGAAAATGTAAAAGTAAATCAGTAAGTAACCCCACATAAAAACCCCCATATGATCTGTATTTGTATATACACGTGTCCATACTAGTATACCTAAATAAAAATGAAAGATTTTCATCATTTTAATTGGAGCCCTCCTTCTACTTCTTTGTTCCTTGAATGACACCTTTATTTCAGGGGCTACTTTTATTCCGCTCATTTTTCAAAATCCGTGTGGACAGGAAAGAGGCAGGACACGCACCAGAGAAGGCCTGAGAAGTTCAGAGAAATGCAGGGTTAGAAATGGCCCCGTAGCTCGGCCCAGTCCGGGTGTTCTGAGGAGAAAATGGTGAGATTCCAGCCTTTTTCTGTACTTGAGCCTTAAAATATGACAAGCTCTGCATCCTATAATGACTATGAAGTCCCCGAGCTAATTATAAAGTATGTTCTTTTACTTTGCCTATATTTTTTCACCCCATAAAGAAAAAGACATAATAAGCTTTTTCCCCCAGCAAATATCTTAAACTTCTGAAAGAGATAAAATTACCATTGTAGTAATAATCCCTTCAGTATAACCCAAAGCCACAATTCTTACTATCCAGAAAGAATTAACTGACCACTGTGTGGCCTTGGGCAAGTCACACCTTGGCCAATAACTGACAGGGTTGTATAACTTATTTGCTTGATTTTTCTGAATATTGCTCTTGCTGGGTACTCTCACGCCCATTTTGCATCTGGGTGATGTGACTTTTTGTCTCTGATGATGACATTGCTATAAACACAATTTGAACATTTTATCTGTAGAAGGAAAAAGTCTTCAATATCTGATAGAATAGACCCGTAATGCATTTCAAGACTTGGCTTTAATTACACTGTGTTAACATTAAACTCACTGAAGGCTTTTTATTATACTTAATTATTTGACAGGACACTAAACAGTAATTATAACTTACTATAATCTGTTTTGCTAATGAAGAATGACAGCTTTATAGAACGAGGAATAACACATTATATATATATATATATATATATATATATATATATATATATATATACACACACACACACACACACACACACACACACACACATATATATATGATGTATTGGACCACCTACTTGATAGTTTAAACCAGAACAGCATGACGTCATTATCATCACCATCATCATCAAAAGCATTTAAGCGATCACGCCATTGTGCTCAGTGCTGTGCAGAATCAAGTTTATGTTAATAATCTGTAATTTCAAAGTTTACAACATATGGCCAACATGTGTGAGCAACATAGAGTACCAATTTATAAAGTAGAAAAATATAAAATTTAAGCATTTACATCATGCATAAATAAGTGGGGAGATAAATTTTTTTTTTTTAATGAGTGAGGGAAAAAGTTGGGAATTTTAAGATTGGGAAGCTAATAGTTAAAGAGGATCATCTTTACAAATAAAGTTAAAAGCTTCTGACAAAATAGAAAAAGGTTAGGAACCAAGGTAGTCTGTAAGGGAATGGTGCAGCGCATGGGGTCAGTGTTCAGAGTAGCTACCCTGTTTCCCCGAAAATAAGAGTGTCTTATATTAATTTTTGCTCCCAAAGGTGCGCTAGGTCTTATTTTCAGGGGATGTCTTATTTTTCCATGAAGAAGAATACGGTACACATTTATTGTTAAATGAAAATAAAGGAAATTGATTACCTATACGGTATGGTAGTACGGTAGTTGTCAACACAAACCAGAAAAACTGTGAATCCTACAGTATCAAGAATTTACTCATTTATTCAATGACAATCATGTCATCATCTTCTGGAACATCATCATAACAATCCAATTCCTGAATTTCCTGGTGAATTTCTTGTGACTCCATTTCTTTCAGAATCAGTGGATCAAATTTCTCATGTTTAGCCTAGGGGGCCTTATTTTCGGGGGATGCCTTATATTTCACTCAGAAGGAAACTGTAAGTAGGTCTTATTTTCAGAGGATGTCTCATTTTTGGGGAAACACAGTACAAAGCTAAAGGCAGAAATGAGAAAACCCAAAACAACATCTGAGTATCACTGAAGCAAATTATGAGGCTATTGGCCCAGAGAAATCTCCATTGTAGACTAAGGAAGTAGAAGAATAGCTGAAAAGATGACAATTTCAGATTTTGCTTTAAAGAATAATCAGATGGCTGCTCCTGAAGCTGTGACTGCAGGCACAGCAAGTCATGAGCTGCCTAGAACCTTACCCAGGTGAAAGCTCCCTAATACACAGGGAAAAGGGATACAATGCAAAATTGGGGACAGATCATTTGAAGGTGACTCTGCGTCCCTGATTAAAAGGCCAGTTCCAAATAGACAGCATCGCACACTCTAATGCAGGGGTCCTCAAACTTTTTAAAGTGGGGGGCCAGATCACGGTCCCTCAGAGAGCTGGAGGGCCGGACTATATGAACTACTAATTCCTACTGTAACACCTCGGCTGCGCTCACTGCCCAAAAAACCTGGCGGGCCGGATCAGACTCCTCTGCGGGCCACATGTGGCCCGCGGGCCGTAGTTTGAAGACGCCTGCTCTAATGGGAAGGCATGCCAGACCAAAGGGAGGACTGAACAGTGTTGCATGAACCACACTTAATTTGCTTGGTAGCAAAGTGTTTGGAATATTTGAGACATCTAAGGTGCTATGTGAAAAGAACCATAGGGGAAATTTTGGTGAGTAAAACACAGAGACTCTGTATTTAAGTCTCTTATCCCAGGGAAAATGATGAGAATCTTTTATCTCATTATAGGAATACTATTAAAAATAAATAAATAAAATAAAAACCAACCTAAGCAACCAACCTACCAGCCAACTGGCCAGTAGCTATGACACAACTGACCACCAGGGGGCAGATGATCAATACAGGAGCTGCCAAGCTGGGGGGTGACTTGGCAGCTGAGGTTCTCAGGTACCACACCTGGAACCAGAGAGGAGGGAGACCAATTCCTATGTGCATCACGCGAGAACCACCCTCTTGCAATCTGGGACCCCTCAAGGGATGTTGGAGAGCTGGTTTCAGCAGGCCAGAACCCCTGCAGGCCAGGCCAATGGACACACTCCACCAGTGCACAAATACATACACCAGACCTCAGGTGTATATATAACTAGGTGTCTAGAGAAATTCCAATAAAATTCTGACAATTTGCCTACTAACCATTCTAAATTCTAACAGTTTCTTAGGAATTGTTTGCAAAACAGTGACGTAGAGATTGTTTGCAAAGCTCAGTTTCACCTTCTGCTGATAAGTATCTTTCAAGAAAGCATTGGCAAAAAAAAAAAAAAAAAAAAAAAAAAAAAAGATCTGAAAAGCATTCTGATTTTGCACAGTCTATCTGGAAAACAACTGCTTCTGAAATAATTATAACTAACCAGGCCAATACTCTCCCTCAGTTTTTAACTTGATATATTCTGCTATGTTAGTCAAGTCGTTCAGGGGTTTAGCACATATGTGTATGTTTTCTCAAAGCAGAGTTGTAACAGCTGATGGACCCTGTGAGCAGTAAATTTGCAATAACTGCATGTCCTTTTTTTATGTAGATGATAAATGAATGCACAGCTTAAAAAAAAAACAAAAAACCCAGCATGTAATTGCATTGCCTAAGGAATTGGTCCAAAGCATCAACATTGCTGAGACCGGTTTGGCTCAGTGGGTAGAGCGTTGGCCTGGGACTGAAAGGTCCCAGGTTTGATTCCGGTTAGGGGCATGTACCTTGGTTGTGTGCACATCCCCAGTGCAGGGGGGGGGGGGGGGCGGGGGGGGTGCAAGAGACAGCTGATTGATGTTTCTCTCTCATCGACGTTTCTAGCTCTCTATCCCTCTTTCTTCCTCTCTGTAAAAAATCACTAAAATATATTAAAAAAAAAAAAAAAAAAAAAAAACATCAACATTGACTTGGGAGAGAGGTGAT